TATTATTTAAATAAATAAATAACAATAAAAAACTTTTAATCTAGAATTAAATAGTAAGTTTTAATACTATTAAATTTTTTTAATTAGAATATAACAGAATAATATATTTTATAATTATCTAACTAGAATAATAATATTATTATTTTTTATTAAAAAATATCTATTTTTATCCAGATCTTCTGTTAAAAACTAAAATATTTTAATAAAAATATAGTTTTAAAACTATAAAAAAGCTGTTAAAATATTATTATTTTTTTATTAATTAATACTATTTTTCTAAGCTTTTTTTATTTCAAATATCTTTTAAAAAAATTAGTAATAATATAATTAAGAAATAATCTTTAATAAAATATTAATAAAAATTATAAAATTCTAAGAATATTTAAATCTTATAATATATAATTAGTATTAGTTATATAAAGATAGCAGATACCCGTCGGAAATTTATTAATATATTATATAAAAATATAATATATTTTAAAAATTTAATATAATTTTAATAAAAAATATATTTTAATAACTTAATATAAAGATCTGCTTTTTATAAATATTCTAATACTAAATATAGATAAAAAATATAAAAAAGACAGTTCTTTAAAAAAATAAAAATATTATTTAAATAAGTAATGTAAAAAATATTTAATATATTATAAAAAGTTAGATAGATATAGTTTTAAGATATAATCAAAGTATTAATTAATCTAAATAATATTATTAAATATTTAAAATATTTATAATAGATTCGAAAAGCTGTTTTTTATTTATTTTTTTATTTAATATAAATTTAATAATAGATATTTTAAATATTAAGTTTTAAAAAATATTTAGCTTCTGCAATCCTGTCTAAAACTTTTAAAATTAAAAATAAAAAATAATAATTTTTAATTAAAATCTTATTAAGTCTTCTATAATTTATATATAATCAGAAATTTTTATTTTTTTAGTATAAAAAAATAAAGACTTCTATAGAACTTTTAAAAAATTAAATTTATTTTAATAGAATATTTTTATTAATATAATAACAAAAAGATGGGGGCTTAATTTAAAATAAAAAATAAATAAATCTATATAACAGGATTTTATTGTTTTTTAAATTAATAATATAATTCGACAGTCTATAAAAAAATTGCTAAAAATAATTAAAAAAAATATATTTATAAAATTATAAAGCTTAGAAAATAATATAATTTTATTAAGTCTAATTTATAAATAATTTAAAAAGACTTTATTTTTTAATAACTAAATATTTTTTAGAAGTTTAATAATAGTATAAATATAAATAAGATTTTAATAAGCTTTTATAAATTTATAAAAAAATAAGATTTTTAATTTTTAAGCTTTGTACTACTACTACTATTTTTATATAAATAAATAAATATATAAATCTTTCAAAATAATTATTAAAAGTAAGATAGAGTTTTTAAAAAAATCTAAATTATAATTAATAATTATATAATATTTTATAAATAATTATATAGTTCTTCTCGAATTAGTAGTAGTAATAGAAATTTTCTATATATTATATATATTTATAATAAAATAATTAATTACAATAACTAATAAAATTATAAAATAAACTATATTCAAATAAAATTATTAAATAAATTAATAGCTAATAAGATTAATTTTAGTATATAAATCTAAGTGTATATAAGTTTCGAATATATTTTTGAAATAAATAAATATATAAAAACAAGTAGTAGTTTTTATTTTAAACTAATTAATTAAAAATATAAAGACTTTTTTATTTAGTATTCTTTTTTTATTAATTCTAATTTAGTTTTATTTTTATTTTTATAAGAGCATCGGTTGGCCAAGTAATATTTATTATTATATTTATAATAATAAAAAGTTTTTTTTTAATTTTTTTATTCCGCGAGGATTTCAACGAAAAAACCTTATTAGTTAATTATAAAAATCCAGATTTTTTGAAAATCTTATTTAGATAGTTTCCTTATTTTTCTAAATCTTATTTTTTTTAAATTTAATATATTTTAATAATAAATAGTAATAATTACTACTTTTTTTAAAAAGTCCGGTAGTTTTAGTATATATTTTTAAATATATTAACTAAATTCTAATACCAGCTTTAAAAAAAAGATTAATATATATTTATTATTTTATTTAGACTTAAAGTACTGTTCTAAGATATTTAAATAAAAATAAAAATTTTTTAGATTTTAATTATTTTATTAGTAGATTTGTTTAAACTATTTTATAATATTAAACTATAAAATAACTATATTTCGAATAGAAAAAATCTATTAAATAAAATAATCTTATAATTTTTTAATATTTTAATAGTCTTTCAGTAATTTTTTATTAATATATTAGTATTATTTCTATTAATCGATAGAATCTAAGTAGCTAACTGCAGCTAAAACTTTTTAGTTTTTTATATAATATTTTTAAAAAGCTTTTTTCAAAATATATTATAAATTATAAATCTATTCTGTTTTCTATTGTAAATTAAACTAAAAAAAATAAAGATTTTTTGAAGTTTAATTTTTTTTATATTTAGAAGATAAAGTTGAACTAGTATAATATTACCATAATTTTACTAGAAATTTGATATCTTTATATTCTGTTTATAATATTTAAATCTATTTTTTTAATTATTTTAATTACTTTAATTAATAAATAGTAGCTTATACTTCTTAAATATCTATCTAAATTAAATAATATAATTTAAAAATAAATAAAATATTTTAAAATAATTCCGGTAAGAATTTGCTAAATAATATATTACTTTTTGCTAAATAACTAAAAAAAGAAAGATTAGGAATTATTAGAAACTACTTAATATAGTAGATATAATAATTAAATAAAATAAATAAAATAGTTAAAAATAGTTTTTTATTAATTTTAAAACTAATTTTTAAGAAATCTTTTTTTTACAAAATCTTAGAATAATATATTATATAAAAAAAAGTAAATAATATAATAATATAAATATTTAGATTAAAAGCCCGACGAATTTGTGTCGACCTAGAAGCAGGCTGCCATAATAGTAGATATAGGCTGCTGTAGCAGGAGGTATTGTATAACAGATTAATATTAAGATTCTATTTTTTTATAAACATAAAAATAAAAAATCCGACTAAAAAAAAGATTGCTGTTACCGATTTTTTTGGTATAAAAAAACTAATAAATTAAGAAGCTATTTAATAAAATAAATAAAAATAAATTAAAATAAATTAAAATAACTTCTAAAAACTCTTTATATTTCTTTTTTAAATAGTATTTTTTGCGAACTATTTGGATTTTTTAAGTTTTTTTAGTTTTAGTATTTATTATATTAGCATCTGCTATAACTATTATTATATTATTTCTTATATATAATTATAGTATTAGCTTTACTATATCTTAAGCTATTGTTCAGTATAAAAAAATTAAAAATTATAATTTAGATTTTATTATTAGTATATTTTAAACAGACACCAAATTATAAAAAATATTAAAAACAAACCTACTATAAGAAAAATATTTTTCTATTATTTTATTTCTTAAAGCTATTTAAGAAAAATATATTAGTAATTTATTTTTATTACAGATTCTAATAAAATCTTTATTTATTCCGAACGTAATCTAATTTCTAATATTGGTAGGAATTATTATAATTACTATTATAGATTCTTTAATCTATATATTTATACGATATATAAAGATTTAAAACAACAATTTATATAAACTGTTTTAATTTTTTAAATATTTTATAGCCTTTTCCGATGCTCTTTTTTTAAAAAAAATATAAATTAAATAGGACTTTTAATATTATTACCGAGACTAAAACCTTTAAACTAAGAGATATAACTTCTTTATAAAACATTAAGTAGAATCTTTAGTAGAAATAAATATATTATCATATAAATAAAAAAATTACTTTATATAATTCAGAAATAATATTAAATAATCGACTATTTTAAAAATTTAATTCGTAATATTATAGCTATCTTCGAGATTTTTAATTTTTTTATTATAATATCTGTTACTGTTTTAATAAAAATTAAAACTTATATAAGATTTATATTATTTTTTATTATAAACATCTCTGCCCGTAAAAAAATAACAAAAAAATAAGATTAACAAAAAAAAATTAACAATAATAATAACAACTAAATAAAAACTGTATTGAAGAAAAATCCTTTTTATAAGAAAATGTTTCTGTTGTATCGGTATAAAATATAATAACAGAAAGAAAAAAGATTTTTTTAATTTCTTCTTTAGAAAGATGGGCGGTAGCTTTATATAATTTCTTTGATTTTTTTTTATTTTTCTTTTTTTTCATAATAATTCTTTTATAAATAGTCTCTTTTATTAAGATTAATATCAGGCAGTTGTTTCTATTCTTCTGTTAGTCTATATGGGGCGTAGTTCTGTTTATATTATTCTATTTCTTATTCCTGGCTTCGCCTCTGCAGTACTCAGTAGTATATGTACCATTTTTTTATAGTTCTGTGTTTGTAATGTTTGATTTAATAGAAGTTAATTAATTTATTTTTTTTATTAATCTATCTGTTATACCTGACCTTTCTATCCTGCAGTTCAAAACAGTTAATGACTGTTAAGGGAATCTCTTAATCTTAACCTGACCGCCGGTTAACGGTCAGGTTCCAGTTGAGGTATGACGGTCAGGTATAGCCACTCTAGAAGTACCTGTATAGCTAACATCCCAATTAGCGAGCTTGATCAGATATAATAGTATTTGAATTGAATTGAATTCTATCACAGCGACGACGCGGTAACCACTAGTCACCGTGGAGGTGGGCGCCAATAGGAGCCATCCTTTTCAATGATCTCAAGGTTCTATTGACAACAGACTGTAATATTTCCGAGAGAGGTCTCATGGACTCCATACATGTTCAATTCATAGACTGTATACAACCCCC